CACCTCTCTCCTTCCACCTAAGCGCTTCAATTACTCTCCAATTCCCTTCACTTCCTTCCTTTCTGCTGACCTTCTTTTGTTCATGCCCACGAGATTGGCGCCTTAAATGCACCACTTTTACAGGCCCAGCGGCTCACTCTTGTGATTCCAGCACTTTGGAAGGCCAAGACCAGAGGATTCCTTGAGGTCAGGAGTTCGAGACCAACCTAGACAATTGCAAGACCCCTGTCTGAAAAACTTAAAAAAAAGCCAGGCATGGTGACATGTTCCTGTAGTCCTAGCTATAGGTACAGGAGTTAGAGGTTACAGTGATCTGTGATTGGGCCTTCAGCCTGGGGAACAGAGCAAGAGCCCATGTCTTTAAAAAACAAACAAACAAAAAAAACACCACCTTCATTGCTTCAGTGAACTTCTATGAACTTTGTTGGAACATATGCGTGCTGAGCAGTAAGCAGAAGACGTCATCCCCAAATCTCAGCATTGAAGGGGCCTTTGACTAGGATTCCATGGAGCAGAGCCTGTTCCCCCCAGCCTGTTGGGATGAGCTCTTTTTACTTTTCACGTCTGCCTCTAGTCAGCTGTTTTGCCAAAAAGCACTTCCTTGCATTTAGATAAAGCCTGCCTCTTGCATTTCCATGCACCTGGCCCAGTTCTGGCCCCCCTGCCTTTATGTAGGGTCTGAAATCCCACTAACCAGGCCCATGACCTCCCTGAGGAGTCTCTACAAAAAATGAAAATAGCCAGATCCACACCAGTGTGCCTGTAGTCCCAGCTGCTTGGGAGGCTGAGGCAGGAAAGTCGCTTGAGCCTAGGAGCTTGAGGTTGTTGTGAGCAATGATCAGGCCACTGCATTCCAGCCTGGGTGACAGAGCAAGACCTCATCTCAAAAAAAAAAACAAACACGCACATACACACACAAAACACCACAACAATCAAAAGTAAATGAGCTTATGGCCCAGCAATTTCAGTCTTGGGTATATGCCCAATAAAAAGAGTGAAATGCTGATTGATACATGCTATAAATGAGTGAATCTTGAAAATACACTAAGTGAAAAGAATGCAGACAGAAAAGACCATCTACTGTGCGATTCTATTTACATGAAATGTCTAGAAGAGGCAAATCCACAGAGACAGAGAAAGGCTAGGAGTTGCTGAGGGCTGGGGTTGAGAGAGATGGGAATGG